AAAAACGGCACTCAAGTACACAATACATTGACAAAAATTGTACTAGACTGTCTCGCTTTGATTTCGGAATGCTTACACATTGAGAAGTTAGCTTACTGCCAATGTAGAAGAATTACATATATGATTGAATCATGCGTTAAAGGTTTGTTTGTTGTTTGCAGACATATACATATATTTTCTTTTGTTCAAATTAAATTTAAGATTTAAGCTGCCGCATTTTGCCTGTATTTCTTCTATTTTTAACCGACTTCCAAAAAAGGAGGAGGTTATCAGTTCGTCGGAATATTTTAAACTGAACTTTAATAGCGCAGCTGGCACGCCGTCAGCTCCCGCAGCTTTATGGTTCTTCAGCCGCATAATTTCGGTGTTACAACGACAAGGACATAGTGCAGCGAATTAAAATACAGCGGCTCTGCTGGCTTGGCCATGTCGTTCGAATGGACACCGACGCTCCAGCTCGGAAAGTATTCAACTCGGAACCCTCTGGTGGTAGCAGAGGGAGAGTGAGGTCACCACTGCGATGGAAAGACCAGGTGGAGAAGGACTTGGCTTTACTTCGCATTTCCAAATGGCGTCTGTTGGCGCGGAAAGGAAACAACAGGCGTGCTTTGTTGAACTTGGCCGAAATCGCTTGGGCGGTTACAGCGCCAAATAAGAAGAAGATGAATTTCAGTGTTACATCGACTCCATTGTCTTTGAGTGCGGCCTCGTGCACACCTTCTTCACTACTTAGAGCGCTGTTACTCAGACGATCATATGACTAGGGATCACGGCACTTTTGCTCTAATATTTTTCAATTTTACTCTCTTTGACCACCAAGCTGTTATGCAGACGGTCAAATGACCAGAGTACTTCCCTGACTCATTTGCATTTCTTTGGTCTATTTTTAACCACTTTTTTCAGTTTTTGTATGAAATAAAGGAAAAAAGTAATGCCGATTTCGTTTCTACCGAAAAATGCAACCTTCTCTTTGCCCTCTTCGCACAAACACTAAGAAGAAGGCGATGAGAAGGCAACATTTTTTGTAGAAACACAATCGCCATAAGAAATAGTATATGTATGTTTTTCATTCTAAAAGCAAACAAAACAACGGTATACATTCCCACGATAGTCGGGTCTACGTAACCGGAACGACCCAGGAAAATTTTGCTCCACTGCTGCGTTTGTTGGAGAATGCTAAGGCGTCTTCTACGTGAATGATCTTAAGTTCCTGGTATTTCACCCAGTGCATTCCGCGTAAGTGGAATTACGGGTTTGGCAGCCCTGGGATACCCAGCCATAAGCTGCCAGTCCTTGAGTCGAAGCGAGGCTCAAGTGGCAGAATGTCTTCGGCTTTCGAGGTCTGACCAGATACCTTATTCTGGTACCACGGGGAACAGGGGCCCCGTAGCATATTATACTTACTGGCCTGTTATTGGGAACGGTCCTTCGCGAGGTTTTCGTGGTGGTGGTCATTTAACACCCGAATGCGGGTAGAACCCCACACCGCCTATTGGTACCGAAATGCTTGCATTTCGGGGCGCTTATCATCGCATTGAGTTGATACGTTGTGCTTTTGAGCACCGTAAGGTTAGGTCGTCTTTGACGACAGGTACTAACGATAAATGTCACACATAGTTCCTGGTCTTATCAGTTCGGATGCTCTTGGTCGGCTACGACGTCTGGGTACTCTATATTCTTCCTCTTGGTCCATGCTACTGAATGATGGCTTGCCAGTAGAAGGAGCAGGCGAGGTGTTTCCAGGCCCTTAAGCCTTTCTTTCTTTCTTGCGGTGCGTGAAGACGAGCTGTTTTGCGTTCCTACGACAGTCGGGTCTACGTAACCGGAACTACCCAGATTCATATCTCACCAAGGGTTGTCACTTTAGCCCTTCCCTAGGCACGTTAGAAGGCGCTACAACAACTCCGCCCAGATCGGTTAGTCCCTCAATCGTTGTAATCAAACTCAACTAACGGAAGACCCAAGAAGCGATCTGCTTCAATAGGGTGTGCCCATCAGGACAGAAGCGTAAGTAGGGTGGGGTTCAGTGGGCATGCGAAGGGATGTCTCGAGTCATGAGATGTCTCTCCGCATGCCGGGCACTCGTCATGCATGTGATGTTGCGGCAGCATCAGGAGGCATCCGGTCGCTGTCGGGAGTGCCGCGTTTTGGCTGGTATGTAGCTTCATTCACTGCGTACTACTAGTCCTCGGGTACCGCACAAGTGCTGCATAGTTCAGAACCGGCAGAACCTTGCTGCGGCTTTGTACTTAATTGTCATTGTGCGCCGAGAAGGAGAGCAGACTGTCGAAGGTTACTCCGAGGATTTTCGGGTTATTCACCGTTGGGATTGGTCCGTCATCGACGTGAATAGTGCATTCTGACCTCCTTCGTCCAAATGGTGAAAAGGGTAGCTGAGGATTTTGTAGGGGAGAGGGTTAGGCTCCTTGCAGTGAAGAAGCGAGAAAGCTTGGAGAGATAATCGTTTACTTTCGAGCACAAGTCATCTATTCCATTCCCAGACGTCATTAGCAATTGCCTCCGATATCGTTATGATGAGACAGTTTATTATCTATAGTAATTTGTATATGCATATTTGCTTCTTTATTTCTCATTCTATTACAACTTTTTTTGCAACATTAAATTATGGTACAATGTGCACACGTCTCTTAATATATAAATAATTTCATCTTAAACAACGATGACACGGATGATGGGTGTTGGGAAATACTTGATTTTCCTATCTTATCAAAACTGTACATATGTACATACATATGAATCGTGCTTAAAATTAAATTAGTTCACTTGTACTTATTCGGCTAAAAGTCTAGTAGCATTAAAAAAATTTCTTAAGTTACAATTAGTAATAGATTTAAATTCATCAGCACTTTAAAACGTATCAAAACTAGAGCTACAGTTTCTTTGTACACTTATTTATGTACATTCATACATATGCGCATATACGAAAACTTACATACAATTGTAACTGGTACAACTTAAGTTGCATCGTCCATTGTCCTAAAATATAAATTTTAAACTAAGTATGTATGCATGCCTACGGTAGCAGTAATAATTTATAATAGTTTACATAAAATGTATAATATACAGGCGGGTTCCGCAATTCACTTCCGCGTGAATTTCAACCCCTGCCTATGTAAATTCAAAGCGCATTTTGTTGAAATTCACACGTAAGTGAATTGCAGAACCTGCCTGATAAATACATTTACAATATTTTATCAGCTGCATTTTCCAGTTCCTACTTCTTTGACTTCTTTATTAGTTGTTATCCCGCATTCTTTAGTACGTTCATGTTTTGCTGTGGATGCTACATTCTCTTCAATAGAATCTGCTACAGGTTTTGAGATGACTTTATCTTCAACACTTTCTGGGGCCTTTTCGGTCGGTTCTTTCCCGTCAAATTTTGTGTTCTCTTCGATATTTTCTGCTATTTTCTGGACCTTTACGATTTGCAAATCTTGGAGTTCAGAAGACTCCACACTATCATTACATGTATTTTGCTTGTAAAGCTGTAAATCGCTATCACCATTGGGAGATGCGCTGATTACTTCACGTAGATCAGTGCGCGAGTCCTTACAACATACTTTGTCTGCGCAATCGGTGGCGCTACACTGCATTAAGCACTCTATAGATGGCGACTTTGGGCTTTGAAATTCTGGTTGTATGGTGACTTCAGTAATTCCACGATCGTGGAAATAAGAGCGTACATCATCAATGATTTTGGTATAAAGCTGTGGGTTCTGGAACATTATGTGCACAGTGGCTACGGATTTATGCACCGATAATTGCCAGATGTGTAGGTCATGATAGCTAACTATTTCAGGAAATTTCATCACTAATGTGCGCTCGAAGTCTACCATATCAATGGAACCAGGAATCGTTTGCAGGAGAATTAGGCAAGACTGTTTCACTGTTTAAGAGTTAGGAATTATAACATTAATCGAATTCCATAAATGTTAATACTAAATATAAAGAATACTTACTATAAGGATAACTTAGCGAGACTAAAAGCACACATGAAAATATCGAAAGTACGGGATCGATGAATTTAGCTGTGTGCTCTTCATCTTCCGCCATGTACACAATTAATGCGCAAACGATTACGAATATGGTACTAGAAACATCTCGCAACATCTCCACACCACCTTGCCTTCTTGGTGTATAATGTACTTGTCCGATTTCTGCTTTAAGGTCATCCTTTAGTTGGCGGTCGTTGTCTATGTTCTCTTTGTTCGGTTTTGAGAGTGATCGTTCATCGGCTTGTAAGTCCCCACTGGTTGATAGCACACGATCCAGAACTACATCTCCGTTAGGTGTCACATGCAAAAAGCTCCCCTGATGCATTGTATATCCACCGATTAATAGATACGTCAATCCATTTAAGATAAGGCCAAAAAAACCTAGTACCATAACAATAACTGGCAAGTGCATTGTATCTTGATGATCAATGTGTACTAAAGTCTGCAACGCCTCCACGACCAGTGAAAATGAAAGGGATGCGAGGATTATGAAAACAATCAGCATGGTTAGTATGTCTATACGAGTCCAACCGAATGTATTACGCAACTTCATTTCTCGGCGATGACGTGTCGCTGAGGCTGAATGAGGTCCAGACATATGTACCACTATAATTTTATCTTTATTCGGCTTTTGGGATAAATTACTATTACTGCCGGCATACGCTGAGCTGATGTACTCTTCAAAGTTGTCATCACGTTTTCTGCTGTGCTGCAATGGAAAAGTTTTGAACCAGGTTATTGTTTGTTGCTACTGATAGGCAATAATAAAGGTACATGCATATTAAAAATGCTATATATGTATATGATGAATGTATATGCAAATATTACCTATTTTATAAATGTATTTTATTTTTAACTATTGTATAATAAATTAATATGTATTAACACAATTTGGCCGTATATTCTACTCATAATTAGTGGAACTCTTAACAGCTAAAGTAAAGTATATATTATTCGTTTCTACTTCTTTTCCAATGTTGCAATATTTTCTCCTCGGTACTAAATAATGAGCTAATTTCGATATCGTGAAGAACGCAAAAACGCTTGACAACTTGTAGCGATTGTAGAGCCTCATTTATGGAAGGAGCACAATCATCTTCAATAGGCTTTTCCGGCGTTATTATTCGAGAGATTTCTTCTTCGGTACTGCATTCAGTAGGCTCATGATAATTTTCTTTAATCTCTTGCGTAGTTGATCCTTCATGACCAGATGCATTTTCATCGCAGTATAAGTTGTACTCCGTTTTGCATATTTCCTGCAAAGGACTGGAAATATTAATAGAAGAATCGTCGATAAAGCTGTCGTCCCTTTCGCATTTGACTTTCATAGGACCAATTCCATTTCGCCTTCGCCATCTAAAAAGCCAGTTCAATCCGGGATAAAAGTCATCTTCTAGTTTTACCGCGAACTCCTTCGCTTTCTTCAGTAGCACCGTGTTAGATATAGCTGCATTTTGAGTCTTGTTTTCATTAAACCACTGACATAGTGCATCTTCGACCTTTTCGTGTACACTTTTCCTTTGCCGTTTTCGATAAATGCTTCCACTCTGTGCAGCTTTCTTGTACGCTTCTCCATTTTTAACAATTCTATTTATAGTAGATAAAGCGCAGTTGTATCTCTTGGACAAACTCTTTTTATCAGTTTTATTAGCCACTGCTTGTATTATATCAAGTTTTTGTTTCAACGATAACGCACTGTTTCTTTTCCCCATTTTTTTGGTTATTATAATTGCTAGAGATAGTACACTCAGTAGCAAACAAATCGATCCATCTGCATATTCATCGATGTTTGTGAAATATCGATTAGCTTGAGGCACTAAAGTCGAGTTTGCACACCAAATTCAACTTAAGAAAACTGAATTTATTGTGGTTAATGCAGCGTTTTTGCTGCATTAAAAATGCAACATTTAGCACTTTCGAACATATGTTTTCGAAGAGCGTTCATGCTATAGCATTTAGCAAATGTACATTTACGCGAGTTCGAAATCGTATGCTTTTGACAAACAGCCGTGTTCCAGTCTCTTATTTAGATGCGTATATATTACGATCAATTCTCACGCAGGAGATAATGTGCAAAAACCCTACTGAAAAGGAGAAAATAAATTTTAAACCAAAAATTCAATACAAAAACTAGTATTGTTTTAACCATAACCGAAAATTTGTTTGTGTATATATTCATTTGTCGGTGCTGTCAATTAAAATTTTCTCACTTAATTAGGAAACAAAACGAACCGAGTTGATCACAAATTGATCCAGATTTCTATCAGCATCAAATCGATGTTGAATTTGCTTAACTTTTCTTTATCCAAATATGTAATGCAAATAAAAGAAATCTCGATCGGCGATCACTGAAACGTAGCTAGCAACTGTATACTCGAAAAAGCAATGATGCAACTTTTTCTCTTTAAACCATGTTCGAATCGTGGAAATTTTGGAAGATCACAGGGTTGCTTTTAGCATTTAGATTCTTAATGCAAAAATGGAGTTGCATTTAGTTGCATTTAGGTGACGAATTTTGTATGGATAAATGTACATTTAGAGTAGCATTTAGAGCTAAATGCGCTAAATGTGCTTTTACGCGTAAGCAAAAACAGCCTATAACGCTGCATTAATAAACTCTGCAGACACATGAGGTCCATTCCATACCTTTTCGGACTAGAATCTGAAAAGTGTCAAAATGCAAGAGCGTAAGCAAAATGCGCTCAATTAAAGAGAATAATAGGAAAAAGTAAAGGAACGCAAAAAAACCAAATTCTTAGTCCAAAGATTGCAACAACAAAACTAACGTCAAATAAGAATAGAAATGTATGTACAAAACACATTCACACAAGCACAAGCACAAAAAACACTCACTATATCAATTTTTTTTGGCATAAATGCAGTTGGGCTCCAAATCTCAAATAAAAAAAAAAATATTGGAATCGATAGAGATGATTGAGCTGTGTATAACGGTATACTTCTTTTTTTGGGCAAAGAACAACAACAAAAATTATCAAAGGTTAAAGTTCAAAATAAACAAATTTTTGAAATCAAGATTTCTTAAAACCGGATGGATGTATCTTGAAAATTTTGATCTCATTTAATAGAAAATTTGATTCCCTTTAATTTGCTATACGTACTTTATATATATATTGTATAGTTCTTACAAAAATTGAATTAATGTAAAATAATTATAAAAAAAAAGCTTACAAACTCTAAGTGCGGCCGACGCCGCCTACGCAGAAAGGTGTTCTCTGCAAAAGGTGTTCAGTGCCTTTTCTTCGCAACACAGAAAGATAATTCTACGTTGCGAGGTTTATAATCCTTAAGTGCGGCCGCAGGCCGCCTACGCAGAAAGGTGTTCTCTGGAAAAGGTGTTCAGTGCTTTTTCTTCGCAACACAGAAAGAGAATTCTACGTTGTGAGGGTTATAATCCCTAAGTGCGGCCGCAGGCCGCCTACGCAGAAAGGAGTTCTCTGCATAAGGTGTTCAGTGCCTTTTCTTCGCAACACAGAAAGAGAATTCTACGTTGTGAGGGTTATAATCCCTAAGTGCGGCCGCAGGCCGCCTACGCAGAAAGGTGTTCTCTGCAAAAGGTGTTCAGTGCCTTTTCTTCGCAACACAGAAAGAGAATGCTACGTTGAGAGGGTTATAATCCCAAAGTGCGGCCGAAGGTCGCCTACGCAGAAAGGTGTTCTCTGCAAAAGGTGTTTTTTTATAATTATTTTTCATTAATTCAATTTTTGTAAGAATTATACAACATATATATAAAGTACACCAAATTAAAGGGAATCAAATTTCCTATTAAATGAGATCAAAATTTTCAAGATACATCCATCCGTTTTTAAGAAATCTTGATTTCAAAAATTGCTTATTTTGAACTTTAACCTTTGATAATTTTTGTTGTTGTTGTTTGCCCAAAAAAAGAAGTATACCGTTATACTCAGCTCAACCATCTCTATCGATTCCAATTTTTTTTTTTTTGTTTTTTGAGATTTGGAGCCCAACTGCATTTGTTCCTTTTTTTTGCCTCCTTCCACTTTCAATTCACTTTTTTTACTTTTTGGATAATTCTAACTTTTTGTGTATTCTTTAATTTCCGTTAATTTAAATTCAGTTGAGTTTGACACTTTTCAAGATTTTGCCAGTAAAAATTCTTCTGACTAAATCTGACTACTTCGGACTGAAGAGAGTCACTCTCACTGAGTGTTGCTATCTCATATTTGCTGTCATTTTCGAGTTAAGGAACGCTTTTTGGACTAAGTCTGACTACTTCGGACTTTTTCTGACTATTTCTGGGAATAAGGAACGCAACTTTTGTAGAGATGTCTGAACTGAAAAGTACAGTTAATAAGTCTTTAGTATGCGATTTCGTTAGGCATGAAAAATTCCATATATTTTTTTGATTCTATGGAAATTAATTAACGTTTAAACAAACGCTTTGTGCAACTAAAAAATTGTTCACATTATCATAATTTTCAGCTCATTTGTAATTTACTTATAAGCAAATCATGCTGAAATCAAGTGATTTCGCCTTATAAAATCTGTTAATAAATTAAATAGAAATGAGTTTATAATAGATCAAAAACCAAATGAAGAACAAAATTACTTTTCATTTGTTTAGCTCCCAATTAAAAAAAATGCATGGTATGCAACCATTTTTTAATCAAGTACAAATACACACTCATACCACATTCCCACGACCGCCGGTTCTACGTACCGCAATGAGTCGGGTTTTACTCGACCACGGGCTGTTGTTTCGGGCTACATTCGCGACGTAGTCGAGTCAAACCCAGGGCCAGAAACCTACACGTGTTGTGTATGCCAGAGACGACTACACCACAACTCCACCTCATTCAAGTGCAATACTTACAAGGGGTGGAGCCACCTCAGAGTCTGCTCAGGACTACGGACACATCGGCAGTGGACTACATCTTTTGTGACCCCCTGCTGCTCAAACTGAGCAGCTCAACACAGACGCCACAGCACCACAACACAACAACATAATAGACCACACCACAACCACGACAGACCACATAACAGACACAACCGCACCACCACCCGCACGCCGCCGCCAACAACTCCTAGTTCCTCCTACAATCTGCACGGTATGTCAGACCTGGATATTCCGTAATGTGACATCAGTCACGGGCAACACCTGCCTTGGCTGGTGCCACTTTAGGGCATGTTCAGGTCTGCGCACCACGCGAGATTAGATGAGGAACTTCGAGGGCCCAAGTTGAGCTCCTCGGCCGCAAACCCCAACTGCGACGCCACCCACTACCACCACAGCACCGCGCACAGCCAATGGAGGCAAGCCTACACACATCCCTCACACCCAGCATAACTACACGTCTCCCGAACCACATGAAGCTCCTTCAATTCAACTGTAACGCCCTTCACAGCAAGATCGAGGAGATAACCGTCTTCATGGGAAGGCATGGTATATTGTTAGCTACGGTTCAACAAGACATTGTTGAATTGTGCCGGGTACAACGTGCACCGTCGAGATCGCGAGCGAGATAATGGTGGTGGCTTAGCGTTCATCACGCACCACACCGTGCAGTATCGTCTTATTGAAGGTTAGAGCAATTTTTCTTTGATTTAATATAACTCCAGAAGAACTTGGGCTTACATTTAATATTGCTTTCTACGCTGCGAATATAATTCCTATACAATGATTTATTGAGCTTGTTAAATTCAGCTCTATAAAACACGTAACGCTCACGC